GGGAACCCAAGGGGCGAAAGCCCAAGGCTGTTGCTGCCAAGGGTATTGTACGGGTGGGCCATGGAGGGTGGGCTGCTGTTGGGCCCCAAATGGGAAGGGTTGGGAATTGCGGCCTTTCCCAGAATTTTTAGAGGAGTTAGGTTTTTTTTTGTTTTCCTCCTTTAGAGGTAGAAGAAGAACGGGATTGAGATGAAGAGGAAGAGGTGTTGCTCGCACCGATGCTGGTGACGAGCGCCGCTTGGTTCCGGTGGCCGGAGCCGCCCTCCTTGGCTAAACGGTTCTTGATGGTCCGTTCAGCAAGCTTTAGCCGAGAACGACAGCTTTCAAACGAAGGCAGAGGTTCTTGGTTGTGAATGATGTCCACCATACCGGCATAGGCCTCCGGTAAGCCGGCGGTGAGTTTTAGAACAAGTCTGTTGTCCGAAATAGGGGCATCAAAATCGGCAAGTCGGTCAGCAAGAGATTTAATGTGATTGCACTAAGAATCAATTGAGGTGAAATTCTCAAAATCGAGTTCGGCAAGTTCCTCTTCGAGATGGGTGGCACGGGAAGCTTTGTTGTCTTGAAATAGCTATTCAAGTCGAGCCCAAGCCCTTGCGACTGTGTCATCTTTGAGGAGAATAGCATTGAGGAGATCAGGGGAAATGTTGCCGTAAATCCAGTTCAAAACGGCAGCATCAAGGCGTTTCCAGAGAGCTGGGTCGGCTGTCTTGGTGGCTTGATAAGCAGCAATTTCCGATGCCTCTGTCGGAGGAATGATATGGTGATGTAAATCATGGACCCTAACAAGTACATTGAACAAGGTAGCCCAAGAATGATACATGCCTTGGTCGTCCAAAGTTACGGGTATTATCTGATACCATGAAAGATAATGGAATGCAATGCTTGCCTTTCCATTAGAATTAGGCAGAATATATAATCATTTACAAGCTAGAGTTAGGCCTATAATTAAGGCTTAGATTAGGGAGCTAATTGACTTAGTACTACCTATTAATATGCACAAGATAAAATGTATGGTAAGTATAGATATATACAAAGTAACAGAATATAATTATCATTATATTCTAATAATGAACTTCATTCAAAAATATGATAGACTGTAATAAGTGGTGTTGGGATGCTAGTAACAGATTCCAGAAGCAGGTCTGCCAGAGCCTTTGTGCAGCTTTGATTTACAATATATGGTAGCAAAGGAATGAGGCCATTTGGGGAGCTAAAATTCTGAGGCATGAAGTTCTTGTAAATAGATCCTTATAACCCTAAAAATTAGAAGGATCTTGGTACGAACGCCCAGGACGTTTGACAAGCATTGAAAATGTTTCCTAAAGTGGTATTAACTTGAGAATGCATGCCAAAATCACGCTTCGATCAGTATAATTGATGTTTATTTTAATCTAATTTTTCTACTTTTACCTAACTTATCCATCCACCCAGGGCGTTTGTTAGCATTTGCCAAATTATAAATAATATAGTATCAAAATTTTGCATCTTCCACATTAATGAAAGCAATGATACATTATAACAAATGATCATACTTAAATTGAGAACCAAGGATAAGCTGAACTTGTATGGTGTTGTAGATTATAAATTTATGACAGTTGTCCTTTATGTGGAACCTGTTCACTTGTTCAGAGTCTGATAATCACTTTTTTTTTTTTTAGTGTGATTATAGTCAGACGCTGCTGATGTTGATGCAGGATAGATTGCAGAGAAGAATGAACTTCATTCAAAAATATGATAGACTGTAATAAGTGGTGTTGGGATGCTAGTAACAGATTTCAGAAGCAGGTCTGCCAGAGCCTTTGTGCAGCTTTGATTTACAATATATGGTAGCAAAGGAATGAGATTCTGAGGCATGAAGTTCTTGTAAATAAAATAGGTTTTGATGTGTATCATAGAATTTGTAGTGTTAGTTCTAGTAAAGTAAAGGCTAGAGACTTAGCTTGGCTAAGAACGACCTTACTAGACAGGATCTCTTCTATAGGCTCGTACCTTTGTATCCTTGAGTACAAATTATACAGCTTGGCTAAGGGGCATTCACCATTTTGCCTAGGGGATTAGTATTCTCAGTGTAATGTTTTGGTTTGTATGATTAATAAATTTTGCCTTTTCTCAAAAAAAAAAAAATTGATCATATATACTTGCAAATAAAAGTTCACATCTATCATCTATGTCTTTCTCAATGTCATATCAAGTTTTGTTTGCAAATAGCTACTGATTGAGTCACCTTTTTTTTAGATCTCATGAACTTCCTTGTTCAACTAGTATTTCCTTGCACCATTGGTTTGCAAGAACATTGTTTCAATCATGTTTATTCCAGATCGCTATAGCAGTGCTCAAAAATACTAAAGATCTTTTGACTAAGTCAATCATGTTACTGGTCGGCGATGCTATAACCATGATGTTACGAGTAATAATAGCCTAAAGGCCTAAGTTTCTAGTACATGGGCTGCCAACAGCAACATGTCTAGTACACTTACAAAATGAAAATTGTGTACTAGTAGTTGTGTGCTTTTGCTTACTAATGAAACTAATACAAACCAATGAACCATCATAAAAGACTAAAAGAGTTCTTAGCATATATTTGTATACAGTACAGATATAACTATTAAAGTATTAAGGCACATAACAAAATAATTACTACTAGTACTATTAATCCAGATTGATGAAAGACTACCAGTTCTTCTAAGAGAGAAGAGGAAGCTCCCATGTCAGTCTCATAAGCCAACTTTGTGCAAGGAGGAACGATGAAGTGAGGCTTTTGCCCAATGGCCATTGAAATTCCATATGCCTTACCACAATCGAAGTTCCCATCTTGATGCATTATATCGTCAACTTCATTATTGACTGCATGTAGCTCATAATGTGTGGTCAGTGATCAACCGAGTTAAACATGATTCCAAGGGATTGTGTCTGCTTCAACCTCAAGCTTTTGAATTGAATTTCTTGGCAACATTTAGGCCCTCTCTTCAATTCAGCAAACGCAAAAATGACAATAGTGTACTTGACATTATTGAATAGATCCTAATTTCCTGTACAACAATATAAGCTTGGTCGAATGGCCAAATTCAGGTTGAAAATTAATGGAAACTGTTATTTCTATAGATAATACAGAGTAAAAGAATTAAGCTCCAATATTTGCATCAAAACATCATAGATGCTTACTCATAGATGAAAACAACAGGAGCTTCACATATGTACTGCTCCTAGGCCTCCTACATGTCAAAGATACTACCTACGATTCACTGATATTGTATCAAAAGGCGACGATTCTAAAAGGCGAAGGTTAATCTAAGAAAGCAAAATCTTCAAGTTTGAGCTTCGCCTAGCACTACAGGGAATAAAATCAAGATTTTGTAGTTGCTTCTTTTTTTATCAGTTTATACATTTGTACTTTGGTTATGAATTATGATATGTCAAAAATTCAGAATATACTTGGCATAATTTGTCCTGCAATTCAGCACTTTAGAATGCTCAATGTTTATTGATTCTATTAACCATACATATGAAAATTAGATAATACACCCGGGTGCACCATGCTCATGGTGCACCCGGGTAAACAAAAAAAGGCGGAAAGAACATATAGTGTTTGATAAAGAACATACCTATATTTGACAAAGAAAATACCTTTAATATGTTTTTTAAGTGTGATCAGTGTGTTCTTTGAGTAAAATTATATGTTCTTTATCTTATAACTTATGTTATTTAACATATGTTGATAAACATATATTTTTGTTGGGTTTAATAATACAAAGTATGTTCTTTGAATTTGGCGTGTATGTTCTTTAAGGTCGTAGTGACTCCCAAATTCTATTTTTTATTATCATATGTCATATTTAAATTACTTTTATTATCGTATATTCTTTGAGTTTGATTAGTGTGTTATTTAGGTATTAACTATATGTACTTTACAATATAAATTATGTTCTTTTAACATATGGTATTTTGAAATTTGATATTGAAATCTTAAATTATTTTTAATTGAAAATAATGTTAGAGTAAAAAAAAACTAAATTATTATGGGAAGTTGAATTTTTTTTGGAGAGATAGAAAACTATTTTTTGGGGAAATGATATCTTTGGTAAGGATTTTTTAAGAGGTGATCAACATTGGCATGACTCGCATCCCGACCCGATCCGGCCCGAAATAGGGTGGGTTTAGGCAAACCTAAAAATACATTTTTAGTTAAAACTCGAACCGGGTTTAAAAAAAGCCCGAAAACCCGCTACTTTTCTACGGGTTTGGGCACAAGAAATTATGATATGGCCCGGCCCTACTTGATTTTTTATCACCTCTAAATTTTTCCCGTTAATAATGTGTAATTTTTCAGAAAATTTTATCAAGTTTTTATCTCGTTCTTTTTATTATATCTTTATGTTTTTTGGTAATGCATGTTTTTCTCAAATAAAAACATGTTCTTTGTCAAATACATGTATGTTTTTTATGAAACACATGATGGTCTTTCCGTCTTTTTCTTATTTATCCGGGTGTACGATGAGCACTGTACACCCGTGTGTATAAACCACGGATTACCATATATAATAATCAAATCAAATCACATACCTTATTTTACATTTAAAGAGGTTTTCTTAATCCAGATTTCCCAATCAAACTTCAAATTATTTATCGATCCTCTAATGTTTTACATTTTTTTTCAGTGCCATTTTGTTTATATTTTTGAGGAAATCTGCCCATTTTCTAAATGCTAACAGTAGTTTACAAAAATTATACAACTTCAACACATGAATTTAATTTGATAATTTACAAATACTGTACTGTAAAGGAAAAATTACAAGTATTGTTCAATAATTGACATCTCCTCGTATATTCAATTAAACATCAATATATAAGCAATTTCAGCAAAAAAAAAAATCAACAATTAACTCCACAAATAATCAAAGATTTAACCAACATATACAAATTCATATCAATTAGAGTATATAATTCTCTTTCCTATAATCATCCAAATTAATGCTTAAAAATTAGGACAAAAGGCAAAATTGAACTAATTCATCAAATTAGCCAGCAAAATGTGATAATTCCATTGATTTCCAAGCAAAACTATACATCAATTCCTTAATAATCCAGCAACATGAACTGAAAAAAAATGTAAAACATTAATACTCAAAACCCTAAATTAAGAGCTAGTAAACTTAGTAACAGCCTTAGTACCCTCAGAAACAGCATGCTTAGCCAATTCACCAGGCAAAACAAGTCTAACAGCAGTCTGAATTTCACGAGAAGTGATAGTAGGCTTCTTATTGTATCTCGCAAGACGAGCAGATTCTTGAGCAAGCTTCTCAAAAATGTCATTGATAAAGCTGTTCATTATGCTCATTGCCTTACTCGAAATACCGATATCGGGATGAACTTGTTTCAGAACCTTGAAGATGTAGATTTTGTAGGTTTCTACACTCTTCTTTGATCTCTTCTTCTTCTTCTCCCCTGGTGCTGCTTCTTTGGGGAGTTTCTTTTCAGCTTTCGGCTTCTTTTCAGCATCGGCCGGTTTCTTCTCTGCTGGCTTTTTGTCTGCCTTTGGCGCCATTGATGTATTAAATTTGAGGTTTTTGAGAGGGAAAATTGCAGAAATGTGTTGTGTTTTGGATTGAAGTAGTGGAGTCTCAAGGTAGAGGATTTGGGTATTTATAGAAAAGTGTGCTGGAAGGTGATTGGTTGAATTTGAGTGACACGGATCGAGGGTATTTTGCCGTTGATTGTTTGGGATATGGTTTGAATGGATGGTTGAGATTGGTTTGTGATTTTTAGCGGGGAGTGTTTATAAATGAGCTTAAATTTTAAAATAGGGGTGTGTTTTGAAATGGCGGTTTAATTTTGAACTTTGTGAACCACTCATTTTTTTTTCTTTAAGAAACCCAAGGAGGGCTACTATTTTATTAAATCACTAGTGTTGCTTCGTGTAATGCACGAATTTATAAAATACTAGTTTTGTACTTTTGTGCTGCAATATCCGGGTTGTTTATTGAATTTTAAGATAAATTTTTAATCTATATGTCAAATTTTAAAATATATCATTGATACAAAATTAGTTAGGAATTGATGTGTTTTGGTGACGATTTGACATCTAATAAGCATGTAATGAGTAATAATAATGTTGGTGTCAATGATCGATTTCATATATTAAAAATAAATAAAATAAAATAAATGTTCAAAACCCATTAGATTGAGCCGAACCCAAAACTTTGGGCAAGGTTTGAACATTTCTTGACACGTAACCTGAAGTGACTCAGTCTGATATAACTTATGACAAGATTCAAAGGTCTACATAGTGATAATATTTTAACTGATTAGTATATATTATAATTAGCTGTTTTATGCTTTAAACTACTTCCTTCGCTCCAGAATATATTATGATGCAAAAAATAAATTTGTATCATAATTTTTAAGAATTATAATCTAATAATTTTTTTAATATAATTATAATTCAATTTGTACATCTAAAATATTGGTATTTTATCGAAAATAAAATGTAAATTAACAATTTTATTCTATATATAATTCTATCCAAATATAATTCTAAACTAACTTTTTTATCTTATGAAGTCTATTTAAATCTATTCAACGTGGTGTGACACTTGGCAAAAAGTCGGAACGCAAAGTGTCACTGCCTCGTGACCAGGCTAAAAGTTTAGCTTTATATATTAGTTATATAATATTAAGATTATTAATAATAATAATAATAGTCAATTAAAATTAATTGAATTATGAAATTCGATCTATTTTTTTTTAATTTGAATTTATTGAAGTCTACCCTTTAAATTATTACATGTTACATATGCGAGCTTTGTGTCCCGGGCGATGCCAGGTTATTTATTGAATTTTAGGATAAACCTAATAGTTAAATATAGTTATAAAAAGTGAGAACAAAATGCCGGAGATTCTAGCCAAAATAGTTAGAGTCGTAGTGCTACTTAAACTTTTTACAACTTTGTGGTAGTTCTTTTTAAAAAAAAAAATAGCTAGTTGTTTTAAAAAAAACACGTGCTATAATTGGTAGTTGTTGATAAAATTTTCCTTTTGTTTCGTTGTTCATCAATTAGATAACTACATCTTTATTTCCTAGCATATTTGTGGATCGAAGAGGCATTCAAAGGTTGTTCGACATTCTCTCGGGTTGTTTATTAAGGTAACATATTACTATTTGTGTATGGTTGGGAAATTGGAGGTTGTATTAGTGTGTTAGTTTATTTTGTTGCTTTCTTATAAGACCTTTTAATTTAAAGGTCGTGCTTTTACTACTAAAAAACACGTAAATTTCGACAAACCCGAAATTCTGTCGGAAAAGGCAAAACTTTTGACGGATTTATGTTCCGTCGAATATTTCCGATGAATTCAACAATTCCGTCAGAAATCTCCAATGGAAATAAATTTCGTCAGAATATATGTGCTTTCCAACGGAAATTTTCGTCGTAATTTACAGTTACCGACGGATTTATAGTCCATCGGGAATTTCCGACAAAATTTTCCATTGGAATATAATTTTAAAAAAGTTAAAATCCTTTTTCCCAAACCCTAAAATGCAGTCTTTTCCCCAAACCCTAAAATGCAGCCCTTTCCCCCTTTCTTTCTTATTTCCGCCTCTCTTTCTCTCTCCTTTTCTCTTTTTCTTTCTCTCGATCTGCTCTTCTCCTTCGTTCTCCCCTTCTCCTTCTCTTTCCTTTCCTCTTTTCCTCACCACCCTTTCTTCCTCTTCATATATCTTTTCTCAGCTTTCACTTTCTCCTCTTTCTTGTCTTTCTCCTCGCCACTAGCCCGCTTCACCATCAACGAACGCCAAATTCGAGGTTCACATTTCTAACACCGTCAACTAAAGGTTTTTCATATCAAATTTGACCATGAAAACTCTGGTCAAATCTAACCTTTAAAACCCAAATTTGACATGTTTTAAGGTGGAATGTGAGGTATGTCTTCTTTTTCTATTTTTTAATTTGGTTTGGGTTTTTTTTCTTCTTTATTTTTATGGTGGTGTGATTAAATTGCGGTGCTAGTGGGTAGTTTTAAGTCGATCTAGGGTAGGTTGTGGTGGGTGCGGATCTGGGTTAGAGGTTTCGGTGGTGGTTGGTTGTTGGTCTTTCTGGGTTAGTGGTTTCATTAGTGGGTTGTGGGTTAGGGGTTTCGGTCAGTGGGTTTTGGGTTAGGGGTTTCGGTCAGTGGGTTCTGGGTTAGGGGTTTCGGTTAGTGGGTTGTGGAATTAATGGTGGATCTTGGTCGTTGTCGATTGTAGGGGTTTCAGTGGTGGTGGACTGTGGTGGTGGATTGTAGTGGTGGATCTAGGTCATTGTGGCTTGTAAGGGTTTCAGTGGTAGTGGGTTGTAGTGGTGGATCTGGGTCGTTGTGGGTTCGGTGGTTGATATGGGTCGTTGTGGTTTTTGGTGGTAGATGTGGGTTGTGGATGGTGGTAGGTTGTGGATTAGAAGGAGAGGGGGTACGGGTTAGGGGTCGGGCTGGTTTTTTTTTTTTTAGATGAAATATTGTCCGACGCCTTAAATTCCGTCGCAAAATGGTTTCCGATGAAAATTTCGTCGCAATATGTCCATTTTCCTACGAAAGGGTTTTCGACAACCAGCTCCGACGGAATTTCCGTCGGGAACGGGGTTTTCGACGGAAAACAAGGTCCTTCCGATGTTTTCTAGTAATGTTTATATATATATATATATATACACACACACATAGGGTCGGGATCTGGTGAGAACCACCCTTTATGTGAGAACCCACACCTTATGTGAGGACAAAACTTAGCCGCTATATTAGACGAAATCCAACCGCTGAGATTATAAGCCTGCCTAGCAAACTAACCTTCAGCCTCTACTTTATCTCTCTCCTCTATTCTGCCTGCAAATCAAAGCTCATCAATGGCGATTTACTTATCAATGGCGATTCACTGAGTATGCTCTTCTTTTGGCAAATTTCAACGGTTTCTTTCTGCAAATTTCAACGGTTTCTTTCTGCAAATTTCAACAGTCGCAATTTCATCCTCATTGAGGTTTGTTCGTACTTTTAATTTTGAATTGCATGTTAATCTGAATGTTCAAAATATTTTGATTTTACATCTCTGAAAATTTTGGAATTGCATGTTAATTTTCGAATTGAATTACATGTTAATTTTCGGATTAAAGTAATCGAATTGAATGTTTAATTGCATCAATTATTTGATTGAATTGAATCAATTATTTAGGTTTGATTAATTTGATAGAGCTTTTAATGATATCATATTAAACTTGATAGTGATTGTAATGACGTCATATTAAACTTAGATAAAAAATGTTCTGAAATTTTTAATTGAATGCTCTTATTATGTTGTTAGTAGGTTTTTATTTTCAATTGAATGCTGTTATTATGTTCTTATTTTCAATCAAATTTAAAATGAGAAAATAAATTAAAATGAGCAAACCTAAATATGTATAATAGAACATTTAAAATGAGGTAACTACAATTAAAATGAGCAAATATTAATGACATTCATAAGTAATTCAAGGATAAGTACTCAGTGTTTCGGGTAAAAACACTCAGTATACAGAATTTTGTGTGTGTGTGTGTGTGTGTGTGTGTGAGAGTGAGTGTGAGTGTGTGTGAGTGTGAGTGTGAGTGAGTGTAACAGTGTGTCTGTGTGTGAGTGTGAGTGTGAGTGTGAGTGAGTGTGAGTGTGAGTGTGAGTGTAAGAGTTTATGTATGTGGGCATTGAATAGCATGCTCATTTGACAAATGAGCAAACCTATCCCCCCTGACCCCTCCTCTTTCTTCTTGCAATTCTGATTTCAGATACTGATTTCAGTTCTAATTATAGATTCTGAAATTATTGTGTGTGTGTGTGTGTGTGTGTGTGTGTGTGTGTGTGTGTGTGTGTGTTTGTGTGTGTGTGTGTAAGTGTGTATATATGCCTGTGTGTGTGTAAGTTTGTTTAAGAATCCAATTTTAGTTCTAATTTTTGAGAGTGTATTTGTGTGTGTGTGTGTGTGTTTAAGGAGGTGCATATTCACAAATGATGAGCAACAATGAACAAGGTGAGAGTCAATCAAGTACCATCACAAATGTGCCAACTACTCCTACAATAGTAGTTTCTCCTAAAGTAGCACCTTTGATCACTCCTGGAGGAACAAAAGAATGGCATCCAATATGCCCCAATGAGTTGAAACCAGCTATAGGGATGAAGTTTAATAATCTTGAAGAGGGCCTTGAATTTTATAAAGGCTATGCATTTGCTTCTGGTTTCAATACAAGGAAGTCTACAACTAAAAAGACAAAGAAGAAGCAAAGAATTGAAATATTAGTATATCTTGTGCAATAAGGAAGGATACAAAGAGAAAAGAAAGACTACTGTAGAAAAAGATTTAAATACCAAGGAAGGGGAAAACAATGAAGAAAAAGCTTTAATCAAAAGGAAGAGACTCGTTACTCGTGTTGGGTGCAAGGCACATATTGTCCTAAATCATTGTGATGATAACCCATTCATAGTGACACAATTTCATGAGGGACATACTCATGCACTTTATACACCTAGCTGCAATCTATTCCAAAAAGAAGGAAGGAAAATGAACATTTTACACAAAAAAATAATTGTAAATAATTCTAAGGTAACACTTTCAAATTCTCTTATGTTTCATGAATTCTATGT